CCCTAAACCCTAAACCCTCTATAGAGTTTCAGGCCAGAGCCCCCAAGAAGAAAGGACATACAGAGTCCAGGTAAACCCAAGGATCCATGTAGGTATACATAGGGTTTAGGGTTTAAGGGTCCAAGGACCCAAATAATAGGGCTTTAGGGCCCAAATACAATGAATACCATGGTATTTGGGACCTAAACCTCTATTATTTCAGTCCTTGGACCCTTAGGGATACATAGTACATGGCACATGCTCATTGGGCCTGAGTGTATATATTATATACCTACGTTGACCCTTTGGGAAGGTACGGTGCCTACTTGGAGGTTCACTTGATGTAGTCAGCCTACTCCGTAATAGGGAGCATGCTTCTGATGGGGCGTGCTGGGGATTCGACGCAGACTTACCGAGTCTTAAAGAGCCTGCAAGTAGATTGTGGTTCCACCTGGAGTGAACCTTAAGTCCTAACCCTCAACTGCCAAACCTAAACCACATACATCACTACGCAGTTGCCTTCCAGGAAAACCGCACGGGCACTTCTCCTATTGCATTGTGTCTCGCCCTTGAGGGTTTTGTGATGAGCCCTCATGTTTTCTGAATTTAGGGGTTGGATTTAGGGTTTCGCGGCTCAGGGATAGGGCTTCATGCGGAAGCCTGAATAATTGCAGATATGTTCCCAACTAATGGCAGTGTAATTCTTGTAAGGCATGCCCCGCAACCCTATTGAAAATGCCTAGGTTCCCTGCAGTTCAACCCCGATAACTCCCCTGTCCATGTAGAACATTTTGGCACTGCATGTTCCCTGTCTTTTGTTCACTTCTATTCATTTAGGCCCTTGCAGTACTTACAAAGCCTGATCACTTGTTCCCAGCGGTATTAAGACACAATATTCTGGTGTACCTAGTAGAAAGTGCTCTTTACCAAAAGCACAATACCAAAAGTTCTAGACTTGCATTTTGCAATTCGACCCACACCCTAAACCCTGAACCTGGCAAGCATATTTTCACACGACCTCAGGCATGCTTTTGAAAAAGTCACTCAGACGTCCCGTACCGAAAAAAAAACTAGCCTCCAACTTTTTGTGTGGTTGGGCCCCATTACAAGCAGGGGCCCCCTAGTTATAAGTTGCGCTATAAGTTAGGGTAAATGTGGTAATACGAGTACTAGGAAGTGTGGTTATAGGACTTATAAGTGTAGTGATTTAACTAAGGGTGCCCTTCCTTGTATGGTCGTCCCTGTGAAATCCCGCGTTATAGTCCCGAGAACCCATGCTCCTCTATTCTAATTCTCCTAATCACCAGTAAGTACATGGGCTCAGGTACTGCCAGACGTTGCACCGCTGGGGATTTGCTGGCTACGACGTACCCTTCCTGGAAGGCCCTGTAGCAGTCTCAAAGCGGTGCTGCCCTAAGGCTCTTTGACCATCATAATGGAATGCTGTCAAAACTAGGCCTCCCGGAGCCCAAACAGTCCCCAGAAAGCCCGAAATGGTCCTAGGAGCGGGAAACCTAATAAGCAGAATAGGTGTTCTCAAAGCCATCCTTTTTTGTAGATAAGGATCCCTATCCTATGTGGGCGTGGGGACTATTTGTTTACACAGCATTTGTTTTCTTTTGATGCACTCGAAGAAGCGATGAACCATACATTCTAGGAATTGCTTTGTTATTGCCATGAGCTACAGCGACGTTTCAGCTGTACCTGGGCCCCAAAAGTATGTAAAATAATGGCCTTTATGGCTATCATTATGGGCTTAGGGCTATTAGTTTACATACCTTTGGGGTTTAGGTAGAGTATAGGCCAGGGTTTTGGGATAAGCTGTAGGGAGCTGTCATTACTACAGAAGAACGATTGAACACTGTTTGTTTAAGTGCATATGGCAAGAGAGCCTGAACCCCCGGCCCATGGCCCTACCTGATAGACCCCATGTACGCAAGACCACTAACCCTGAGCTTTCGTGAGTGGATTTAAGATGTTTCTTTGCGGCTGCATGATGGGAAACGTTTTTGGCTGTTAAGCGGGACTCTTTTGGTGGCAGGCGTTGCACATCATGCTCCAAAACCACGGCGTAGCTTTGGCACCCTTTTCATATTCCGGTCGTCGTCTACCATGACCGCCGCCGATCTTCACGTGCACATTTTTGATTGAACTGCAAGCTGGGAACAAGAAACAGAACCAACAAAGAAACATCAAATTATCTGTTTTCATGTAACCCAAACCCTGAACTCCAAACTCAAAGCATCAGTTCGGAACCAGTAGAGTCCCCCTATGTCATGTTTGATCCTAAACCCTAAACCCAGTAGCTGCCCTATGTTTAACCCTAAGCCCTAAACCCTTGGCTGTTACTTGTTGCAGACCTGCGCCAACAAAAGCATAAAGCCTTGCATACGAGGAGGGGCTATAGTAGTGATAAGTAGGGTAATAGTCTAAACCCTAAATCCGAAACCGCTACGTAAGTTATAGCAATCATTGGGCTCATCTGTGTAGTTTTGTACGCAGGGCACCTCACATTTGTAGATCTCCCAAATACTCATGCCAATAGCCTATATGCCCGTCACAAGGGTATAGGGTTCAGGATTTGGGGTTATGTTGGTGGCATTCTAGCCTTTTGGGAGGCCTAGTCGGACTTTAAACTCTAAGCTGCCAACGCTGCAACCCTAAAACCCTAACCCCTAAACCGCCAGAGACCTTAAATCTGACCTGAACCCTAAGTCCTGAGTAGCCTAACCCGGAGCCCTACCTAGAACCCCATACCTTACCCCTATTTGCGTTTGAGTACTTAGGGCTTAGGTAACTTCATGATTAGCATCTGCTATCTTAAGAAATAGGTACCTTAAGAGAAGGGGTAGGATGTAGGGATCTAGGTAGATCCCAAAACGTGCAGGTTGTGTGGCAGCTGACTTAGTGCCAGAAGCTCTATGGTTGGAAGGCGCTGGGTTCTGCAACTTTGATGTACACAGTCTAGGGTTTGGTTTAGGATTTAGGGTTAGGTTCAGGGTCTATGGGGTTTTCAAGGAGGGCCCTCCTAGTTCTCACTTGGGTTATATAATGGATAAACACGGCTTTAAGTTCCAAAAATTGTAGTTGTAGGACTTATATGTAGTTATGTAACTAAGGGGAACAAGGTACTGGCCATGTTGAGCGCGACCGCGTGGCTGTGGAAGTGGACAAAACCGTTCCGGCAACTCGGCCGGGCTGGGGGTTTTGGTCTTGCATGACGCTTTAGGGCTCAGGGTCTAGGAGGGTTTAGGGTTTAGGGTTTAGGGCTCAGGGTCTAGGGTATGGGTAACCGTAAGGGTCCAAGGACTCAAATAATGGGATTTTAGGGCTCAAATACCATTCATAGTACAGTATTTGAGCCCTACAACCCTGTTATTTGGGCCCTTGGACCCTTAGGGTAAATATTGAGGCGCTTAGATTAAACAGATAGCGGCTAGGTGACAAGTGTTGGGGTTCCAGTTCTGCTCTGTCAGGTTTCAGCAAACCCTAACCTAAACCCTAAGCCCTAAACGGCAACTTGAGACTTCGTATCTCACCTGCCCCTGGTCTCGAAGTGCGGTGACGAAACCTAAGCCTTCAACCCATAAACCCGGAAATTTAAGCGCGTAAACCCTAAACCGTACCTCTAAACCCTTAAATCTTGACCCCCAAGCCCTGACCTTAAACCCCCAAACCCCTAACCCCTTATACTCTCAACCCCATGCCTGTAAACCCTGAATCCCTCATCCGAACCCTTGAACCCTAAATCCTGAACCCTAAGCTCTATACCTCAAGTTGGACACCAGTTCCCCCGACCATGAAATAATCACCTCCCCCTGATATTGACCCCCCCACCCCCTTATATGAAATATCTCATTGTAGTATGCTACTATGCCACCATATTTTGGGAAGATTTAATATATTGGGGTGGATGTGATTTGTCCCCAGTCATCCAAGCATAGTACTTAATCAGGACCTTTGGATTCATGAACCCTCCAGTCAGTCTAAAATATACATCAGCTTACGCCCTTCAAAGAGTTCTCCCATTTGGCACACAGCGTTATGATAAACCCGACACAGGCCCCAAATCCCAACCCCTAAATCCTAAACCCTGAACCCTAAATCCTGAACCTCAACCCTAGATCCTAAACCCTAATCCCTAAACCCTAAACCCCCCAGTACCCCCCAACTAAATCCTAAACCGTAGATCCTAAATCACAAGCCCCCAATTCTTACCCCGCAGACGCTTGCGCAACGCCCCGCAGTCTTTCGCTTGGTGCAGAGGCCGCTCGTCCAGACAGACCCAAAGAATCCTAAGTACCTAGAAGAGCTATAGTCTAAGCTCCTTAAAAGGGATTATATAGGGCTTAGGGTTTAAGGTATAGGGTTTAGGGTATTTGAGCTATAGTCTCAACTCCTGTAAGGGATTTTATAGGGACTGTAGGGGTTATTAAGAGGGATACTTGGAGTCTAGATTCTGCTTCATATGAGCTATAGTCTGAACTCCTATAGGGGATTATATAGGTTAAAGGGTTTAGGGTCTAAACTCGTGAAAGGGGGTTTATGTAGAAAATATTATAGGGTTCGGGAATTAGTAATGTGTCGTGAGTTAGTATCCCCCTGGATAGGTACTTTGGAGGGTAGAGAGTTTAGGGTTGAGAGTTTCGGATTTGGGGTTTAGGGTTTAAGGGTTTAGGGTTTAGGATTCTTGGCTTAGGGTTTAGGATTTAGGGTTTGGGATTTAGGGTGTAGATTTAGAGCTCATGCTTGCCAACTTCAAAATAAGGAGCTGATATCCTCTTCAGCCCGGACAACATCCAAGAAGCAAAGATCCTGCAGCTGAGCGAGTAGTACAAGGAGCTCAAACGACCTCGCTCTAAACCCTAAACCCGCACTTGTAGTCACTATCTGGGAATATTCCCCAAGCATTGAACGTGCAAAGTATCTAAACAGCAGTGGCTCAACAAAACCCGGGGTGGCGAATACTGTTGTCATGACCCAAGTGTATAACTGTTTAATACGTGGCCCTTTGGGAAGAGGGCATTAATTCAGGATTATACCTTGTTCTTATTTGTCCAGCTTCGGGGGGCAAGTACTGATTCTTTCAACTTTGGCGCTATTTCAGGGTTAGGGTTGTAGTCCCCCTTAAGTAGATAGAATATGGGGTATATGGGGATCTTGTTATAATATACCCAAAGCCATATTCTATCTACTTAAAAGGACTTAAGGGTTTAGGGTTAAGGGCTTTGGCTCTGAGCTTTACGTAAAGGTCTTACAAGCCTCAACCTTAAGAAAACCCGGTAAGGCATCGGCCTTCAGCCCTGCATTCGAAACCCAACCCTAAACCTCAAACCCTCAAACCCTTAAGCCCCTAGACTCCTAAGACCCCAAGCTCCTAAACCTTAAACCCTATAAACCTTAACCCTAAGCCCTGTAGACTCCTAAACCCTAAAAAGATATCATCTGATGACTTTCGGGCATGACATAGGTGCTTCTTTTAGACTCAGAAGCCCCGGTCAAGCACCATACCCTAGAACCCGAATCCTTAACCCTAAAGCCTAAGCCCTAAACCGTAAATCAAGTCGACCTCTCAGGAAGAGCGATTACGTCGTGGAGCCTGTTGCTGATGCCTGGCTTCGATATGCCGCGACTCATTCGCAGACTTGAAGTTTCAGGCCTTCGGGGGTTGAGAACTTGGTGCTGTGTTGTTCTAAATGTGTTTTGCACCTGTTCATGTTTGTTCTTCGCGTGTGCTTGCAGAGGTCGATAGTTGTGGTCAAGTCACTTGACCATCTTCTGCGCGAATTCCGGACAAGTACCGTCTTCGTGCAAACAACACCCTAGACCCTAAACCCTAAACACAAGGCCTAGATAGTGGAGAAAAGGTCCCAGAAAAACAATCCTAAACACAATCCACGCATTGGATTTCCTACCCTAAGGGTCCAAGGACCCAAATACAAAGGTTTTAGGGCCCAAATACCATGAATATTATAGTATTTGGGCCCTAAAGCCCTATTATTTGGGTCCTTGGACCCTTAGGGCTAGGCTTGCCTTGGTTTGTACGCGCACGGTTTACTTGGATTCTGCAAGCCCTGAGTTGACACCCACATATTCCTAGTGAGTAAGTATCCTAGGTATCAGTATGCCTTAGGATTTGGGGTTTAGGGTTTTAGGGTTTAGGGGTTTAGGGCTTCTAACCCCTAAATCCTAAACCCCTAAACCCTAAACCCAAAACTGTCAAAGTCCCAAAGCCTAAGAGCCCCAAATCACTGAACCCAAACTTCAGGTGCGATGGCGCGAAGAGAGAGATAAAGAGGCTACGGGAAATATGGATACTGCGGAGCCTCTGCTTCTTGGAGTACGGGTTTTCAGGTTCAAGGCTCCGGGGTTTTGAATTTAGGGCCTTGCGGACTCTAAATCGTAAACTCGAAACGGCCCTAAATCCTAAAACCATAGCGTTCAGGGGTTTAGATGTCAACCCTAAACCCTAAACTCAATCAGAAGTTCCTTTTTGTCTCACTAAGGCGACCTAAGGGATTCGCATGGGGCTTGTTTCAGCGGCCTTTCCTTAATCTGGGCCTTCTCAGTGCATTTGGGAGCCAGGTCTTTTCGTTTTAGGGTCTAAGTGTTATTTTGGGTAAGGGGTCAGGGTTTAGGGCCAGAGGTCCGAGTACTTGCACTGGCTATTCTGAAGGTCATGGACGCTTAAAAATGGGATTCCAAGTCAAAAGTGGGCACCTAGTCTTTCAAAAGCTTAGATTTGACCCGACTTAATACCCAAGCCCGTAAGCTCGCAACCCCTAATCATTGACCACTCCAGGTTAAATTTGCGAGCCCTAGACCTCCATCCCCCACCCCCACAACCCAAATGAAACGTAGCCAACATGGTTGTAATTGTGGCGTAAACCCTAACCTTGAAACCCCTAAACCCTAAACCCCAAGCCCTTGACCTTAAACCCCAACCTCTAAACCCTATACCAGGAGCGAGAGGAAGTGGAGGCCTCTGAGCGTTTTGCCGCCGTGCTGGAAGGACAGTTGCTGTGAAGGCGTCGCATTTTTTTTTTTTAGGGCGGTGGCGTGGGGGTGAATACCTTAAATCCTAAACCCGAAGTTCTAAACCCCGAATCCTAAGGTCCTAAGACCTGAACTACAAATCCTAGACCCTAAATCCCAAACCCCAAATCCAAAACCCTAAACCATGTAGAGCTTGGGTTTGAGATTACCAGACGGCCATTACAGGTGGACATGGGGTCCCTTTGGCACTTCAGTATAGTCCCAACAATAACCCCTAAGTGTCATATATGGGAAACATTCATTGTAGCTTATTTCTAGTTCCTTCTTAGGAGGTATTACCCAATCCTACAGAAAGAGTTGTAAACAAAACGCATGAGAGGCTTGTGGACGTAGAAAACGTGGGGCTCTCGGGTTGAGAGATAGGAGGTTTACGAACCCCAAGGGTCCTGGTTTACTGTTTAGGGTCGCAATGTTGAGGTTGCAGGTTCAAAAACTGTTCTGCTTAGAGTGTAGGGGCCTAACACCCCATTGAATGGCTTGACCTAGAACACCCTGGGCCTTGAACCATACCTGGTTGCACTTTGGCATTATTAAGTTCTCTATCCCCAGGAACCCTTATCCCCCCCGGTTATATGATGGTACTGGATAGGGGGGAGTTCTTATTAAGGTGGTGCCTGGGTACTATAAGGTTGAGGAGGTAATCAACCTCATACCCCTGGTTCCTAAGTAGACTTTTACTATCCTAAAACCCAAATCCTAAACCCGTGATTTTGTCTACCCTCCCCTCAACAAACATGGAACCCAAAAACGGGTCCTTCATAGACTACTGTCTACTGTCCTCTAAAATGAGGTTCCATGTTAGCTTGGGGGTAGGTAAGTGGGGCACCAAGCCCTGAACCTTAATCTTCAACGCGAAACCCTAGCCCCTTCAAGGAGGGGCCCCACAGTTATAAGTTAGTTAGGAAAAATATGGTTATAAGCTCCACAAATGGTAGTACGTTATAGGCCTTTTAAAATGTTGTTATGTAACTAGGGGCCTCTCCTTGTAAACCCTAACTCCGAAAGCTTTAGACATACTAAGTCAACAGCCTAATCCCTAAACCTAAACCCTACACCTACACCTACACCAAGCAGGCCCTGAACTGCGCGGCTGAGATGTTATCTTTCAGCAGATGATCTTGGCGAGCGACCTGGTCGAAGATGTGCGGGCCCAAGAGCTTAGAGGTGTATAGTGAAGTGGAATACCCGAAAGGTCCAGGTACTCAATAGATATATGCTTCTGCAACACCTGTACTACAATTATCATAGTAACCAAAATGCAAAGTATTCAACTGTTTAGTACATGGACCCCAAGGGGAAGTATAGTATGATATACTCTTATGCTATAACATGCACCCTCAACCCTAAAGCGTAAGCCAACCATAATCTAGCGAAGTGTCGGCCTGTCTTGTGGCTCGTAGGGCGGTTTGGCATGCCTGTTGCAGGGTTTTGGGGTTCCCAGGGTTGGGGGTGCCCAGGGTTTAGGGTTTAGGGTCTATAGGGGGCGTAGGGTGGTCGGCAGAGGATTGTCTTTCCGATGCAGTTTTTGTAAGGAGTTCAAAATCTTCCTTCGACGCATCATCTAAGCAAAGAACGTTCCGGTACTTGCTTCCCCCATGTTACGAATGCCTTCCCTTTTGGTGTGCTTTTCTGCAAGTGTGGGCGTGTTGTGCAAAACCCATCAAGGAATTGGGTTTAGAAGCCATTCCCATTCCTAGACCTTTCAAACAACCCGAGTCACAACTTACATACCCCTGTTTTGGGCATACCCATGTTATTATGGTAAATATTACCCCCGACAACGTCTATACTATACTATAGTATACTATACTATACTATATTATGCTATACTATACTATACTATAGTATAATTGCCTAAACCCTAAACCTTAGGTGGACCCCCACCCAGTAATAATGACCGTGAGGGATACTGATGATTATAGTAGAGTCCTCATATACTCGCATTATACCACTAGTGCAGAGTGGGGGGTTCACCTAACCTAAACCCTAAGCCCTAAGTCTTGGATCCTAGACCCTCAACCCTAGATTCATGATGGGTAGGGGTTTTGGGTCTACACCCTAGAGTTAGGAGACTCGTTATAGGCTGCCGGGCCCAGTTCTAGACTTGGAGCCCCTCTAGCCGAAACCCTAAACCCTAAAACCTAAACCCCAAACATATGAGTAATATTCTAACTCCTTAAGGGGGTTTACATAGGGGACTATATAGGCGACTATTAAAGGCTTATTAAGGGGGATACTAGGAGTTTAGACAATGGCTCATATGATTCATCCCAAGCCCAAACCCATTTCCTACATCCATTAGACCCAGAACTCTGAGCTCCAAACCTCAAGCGAAACATCTAAGGCTAAGACCAGGACCCCAGACCCTAAACCCCGGGGCTTAGGCTTTAGGGTTACCGGAGAACCCCGATAGGTCTGTATATGAGTCATCATCTTCTAAAAGTTCAAGTTGAGGCAATGTGTCATTTGCGCATTCTACTGGCGAGATGAAACCCTGCTTGAAAAGATTGCTGCACTGCAGACACCATTATTTTGAGACCCGCCCTCCCCCACTGGTCTAGGTCTCAGACGAAAGCTGGGGCCCTACCCTAAACCTTTAACGTCAAATTTGCACCCTAAACCCTAAGTCACTAACTCTCCCTCTATCATGGAAAGCCCCTGAGCCTAAAACTTTGCTCAGGCGCACCTGCAGCTCGCGCTCGTTGCTAGACTGGGTTGCTGTTAAGGAACTTAAATTAACTGACTGTAATAAAGACACCTTATCAGATGTTTACTATATACCCTAAACCCATATAAACCCTAAACAATCCTAAATTCTGAGCCCTAAACCCTAACAGTAGCTTGGTTTAAGTTCGTAATCAGCAACCCAGTAAAGCCTTCTGGACTGGACGACTGTGGCCTGATTCCGTGCGGAGAGACCAGGCGCAAGACAGGTTTTCAGTGCAGAATTTCAAGGTTTAGGATTTAAGGGGTTGAAGGCTAGGGTTTAGGATTTAGGGTTTAAGGATTTGAACGCTAGGTTTAGGATTTAGGATTTAAGAGTTTAGGATTTAAGTAGGGTTGCGGGTTTCAAATCTAGCGTTAAACGCCAGACCCCGAACGCTCGCCTTCCACTTCTCGAGGTCCATGCGGCGCCTGCGCAACGCCTCACTCACTTCATCGCCTCGATGCCACCCAGGACCAACGTAAGGAAATCACCTTTTAGGGTATAGGGTTCAGGGTATCAAAACATTCGCGCTGTAGTAGTAGTGGTACTTATGCCAGTATATTGCTGGAACTAGGTTCTGCTCCGTAGTCTTTCCTGTACGATTGTTGGTACTAGTAGATATAGAAAATCAAGAAGAACCCCTAGAAGTCTGCAATTACGGACCAGGGCCCTGACCCCTAAACCCGAAAGCATGGCCTGCAGTCACGGAGCTGTCAGAGAGGCAGATCCTTTCAAAGTCTGCAGGGTTAGGAAGTTTAGGCTTTAGAGAGGATCTAGAGTCAGGATTTTAGGCTTTAGGCTTCAACCCTAAACTTCAGCACCCGAAACCCTGGCCTAAATTCCTCCATGACGAAATTTCGACAACTTCTTGGCATCCACTCTCTTTCCAATCTTTTTTTACAAATACATTGAGGCAATCCTAGGAGACTGTATTCCCGTAGGGCCCATGAACTTTAATGAAACAAATCTTTAAAGGGGGTCTTGTAGGCGACTAGGGGTCTATTATAGGGGGTACTAAGGCGGATACTACCCACATGGCCTTCTCACAAAAGTCCTTTAGAATCCTTCATCCCTACAAAGAGGGTCCCCCTAGCTACAAGTTCCCCTTGAGGGTTTTGGATTTAGGGTTGCGCCCTAGTTATAAGTTGGTCTATAAGTAAGTTGGCTTTAAAATGGTTATGAGTTCCAAGTTTAGGGTAGTTATAGGACTGAAAAGTAGAATCATGCAACTTTAAACCCTAAACCCTAAACCCCTGAGCCTTTTGGGAACTCTTATCATCCAGTGGTAGTCCGCACATGTTCCAAGGGACGCTGGGCGCCCAGGGTTTAGGGTTTAGGGTTTAGGGTATCTCCTACATGTTCAGACTGTTATAGTCCCCCTTAAGTAGGTAGAATATAGCTTTGGTATATTATAAAAAGATCCCCATATACCCCATAGTCTATCTACTTAAGGGAGACTCTTCCAGCCTTCCAGCCATCGCTGAAAACTAAAGCCCGTGGCTGGGTCGTAACACAACCTCCGCAAAGGCCAACTTCATGAATTGCTTAAACAGTAAATAGTAGTTTCAATTTTCTTTTCCATTATCCCAACAGTACCCCAACATATTATAGTACTTTCCATGTTCTTTTCCATTATCCCTATATAGCCCCAATATCCCCAAAGCCCCCCAGGTGTACACAAAGCCTAATCCCATAAAACACCTGAACAGGCTTACGGTAGTCAGCTTGTCATTGTAGGGCCATTGTTGAGCCTAAACCCTAAATTCTAAACCCTAAACCCTAAACCCTAAATTCTAAACCCTAAATTCTATTCCTAAACCCTAAACCCTAAATTCTAAACCCTAAATTCTATTCCTAAA